CCCCATTAATGGGGTTAGCACCCTTATTAAGGAGACTCCAGAATCCCTTTAATATGCCCTCTGCCATGTGCGGACACAGCAAGAAGATGTTCTCTATGTAACAGAAAGCGCTCACACCAGACACCGAATCAGCTGGAACACGATCTTGAACTTCCCTGTCTCAAGACCCGTGAGAAGTAAATCTGTGTTATTTATAAGCCGCCTTGTCTATGCTATTCTGTTATACACAGACATCTACCCGAATGCACTAAGACATCTACCAAACATTTGAAAAGTTGGCACCAATTTTACACAGTCTCTTCCAGAAAACAGAAGTGGATGGCAACTTCCTTATGTGTTTTATGGCACTAATGTTACGCTGTAACTATGGACTGAACTGTTGCCCCCCAAATTCACATATTGAAGCCCTACCTCTCAATCTAATTGTATTTGGAGACAGGCCTTTTAGGAGTTAAGTAATATGAAATAAGGTCATGGGGTGAGGTCCTAATCTGATAGCATTCGTGGCTTCATAAAAGGAATAGAAACAGAGATTCCACCACCCCCGCCCACCCCCATCATGCTTTCACTTAGCAGAAGCCATATGAGTACATGGAGAGAAGGCAGGTGTGTGCGAGCCAGAACCAGTCCTCACCAGAACCTGATGGTGCTGCACTCTGATACCAGATATCCAACCTCCAGGACTGTGAGAAAATATACTTCCTGTTGTTTAAGCTACTCAGTGGATGGTATTTAATTGTGGCCGCTCAAGCTAAATACCCCGATATCAAATCGAACAAAACCTTTGCGAGACAACAATGGATCAGTAACTGCTCTCACACACATATAGATATGAACATTTTTAACAAAGTAAGAGCACACAGAGGCAACGTATCACACGAATTCTCCAACATAACCAAGCGGTGTTTATTCCAGGGATGTAAGTAGCGTTCAGTATTTGAAAATCAATCAATATAATCTGCCAGCGCGACAGGCTAAAGAATGAAAACACAAGATCATGATAGTCTATGTAGAAAAAAGTATTGCATATACTTAAACACCCAATCGTGAGAAAACCTTCCAGTAAAATATGAATAGAGGAAAACTTCCCCAATTTGACAATGGGTATCTAAAAAAAAAAAAAAAAAAACCTACAGCTAACATGATATTTAATGGTGTAAGACTGAATGCTTCCCCCTAAGACTGAGAACCAGGCAAAAACGTCTGTTCTTGTCACTTGTATCCAACATCGTGCTGGAAGATCTAGCCAGAGCAGGAAGCCAAGTGGAGAAAACAAATGCATATGGATCAGAACATAAGAAAGAAAATCGCCTCTCTTTGCAGAGGACACAATTATCTACATAGACGACATGGGGGAGTCCGTAAGGAAACTCGTGGAGCTAATACTTGAACAAGTGCACAGGATGCAAACGAACATACAAAATTCAACTGTATTTCTGATTCTAGAACTTAACACATGGACACCAAGATTAATTATTACAATGGCATTTATAATCATTCAAAAAAAATGCTTGGCTGTAACAAAACAGGTACAAAACTATCCTCTCAGAATGGTGCTATGGTGACGAAAGATACCAGTAAGAAACTAAACAAATGGAGAAACATATCGTGCTAACAGACTGGAAGCCTCAACACTGTAAAGATATCAATTCTCCCCTAATTTATATACAGGTTTAACACTATTTCTATCAAAATCCCAACAAGATTTTTGGAAGATATATGCAGGATTCTTCTAAAATGGATATGGAAAGCTCCCAAACCTCAATAGAATAGCTTAAATAATTTCAAAAGAAAGAAAGAAAGAAAGAAAGAAAGACCCACATAAATATGTTCCACTGATTTCAAGGTGCTAAGGCAATTCGGTGGAGTAAAGATAACCTTTTGACAAATGATGCTGGAATAAATAGATGTCCAGAGACGAAAATACCAAACGCAAAAATAAGCCTGTACCTAACTCTAATACCTTATATAATAATTAACTCAATATGGATCATGGACATAAATATAAAAGTATAAAAATTTAGAAAAAAGCATACAAGATAATCTAGGACTGACTGAAGAATTCCTAGACTGGACACCCAAAGTATAATCTATTAAAGGAAACACTGATACATCAGGTTTCATAAAAATTATTATTTTTTTTGTCAAAGACCCCATTGACTGGGGTCTAAAGACATGCTAAACACTGATAGAAAGTATCTACAAGCCTCATATCTGACAAAGGATAAGTGTCCAGAATATATAAAGAACATTAAAGACTCAACAGTGAAACAACAAACAATCCAATCAGAAAACAGGCAAAGAACATGAAGTCACTTTATGTAAAACAATACACTTTATGTAAAACAACAAAACTTTATGTAAAGCAAATGGGTACATGAAAAGATTCTCAACATCATTAGCCATTAGAGAAATGCAAATTAAAACCACAAAGAGTTATCACTACTTATGTATTCAGAATGGCTAAAATAAAAAGTAGTGGCAATACGAAAGCTGGCAAGAATGTGGAGAAAATGGATTGTTCTTTTTTTAAAAAGTTGGTTTTTTTAATGTCTATGTATTTAGTTACTTTTTGAGAGAGAGAGAGAAAGAGCATGAGCGGGGAAGGGGCAGAGAGAGAGGGAGACACAGAATCTGAAACAGCTCCGGGCCCCGAGCTGTCAGCACAGAGCCCAGTGTGGGGCTTGAACCCACAAACCATGAAATCACAACCTGAGCTGAAGTCAGACTCTCAACTGACTGAACCACCCAGGTGCCCCATGATTGTTCATTTATCGTTAGTCGTCACAACCACTGTGGAAGCAGTGTGACAGGGGCTTAAAACATTAAATATGAACTAACCAAGCAATTGCTCTCCTCGACATTTGCCCCAGAGAAATGAAGATTTATGTTCACACAAAACCTGCACACAAATGTCTAGAGGAGCTTCATTCTTAATAATCAAAAATTGGGAAATGTAGTAATTAAAACAGTATGGCACGGGTAAAAAATACACGCCTAGATCAGTGGAACAGAACAGAAAGCCCATAAATAAACTCACAATAATCTGGCCAGTCTTCAACAAAGGAGGCAAGAATATACACTGGGGAAAAGACAGTCTTTTCAACAAATAGTGCTAGGAAAATTGGACAGCTATATGCAAAAGAATAAAACTGGACCACTTTCCTACAGTACACACAAAAAGAAATTTAGAATGGATAAAAGATCTACATGTGAGGCTCGAAATCATAAAACTCCTGGAAAAAAAAAACATAGGCAGTAATCTCTCTGACATTGACCATAGTAACATTTTTCTAGATATGTCTCCT